AGAGAGAGAGGCAGAGACAACAAAAGCAAAAGAAATCAAAACAGACTATAACAGAAAACAACGTACACAACTAAAGAGGCTCCAACCCATTGATGTTTATTGATAAACATCTCATACACCTTTTCCCTGCCTTCTTACAATTACTTATCATTACAGGAACGTCAACCCTTATTAAATATTGTTTCTCGAGTAAATCGCTTTCCTGTTTCTTCATCTTTACTCAAACTTAAGGGGCCTAGAGGTTCATACTCTTTTATCCACAAGCCTACAAGCCTCTCCCACAACCCTTTCCACCTCATCCTACAAAATCCCTCTCCCCCCTCCCTTACAATGCTTTTGACGTGGAAACACAAGACATGATATGGACGTGGACAAATGAGGGGCCCCCATATACCTAATCTCACCCATAATTCCGCACGACGTGCAAAGATCGAACCCAACTGCCCAGGATGGATGGCTTCAAATTAAAGAGCGGTCCTCCGGGGGTATCGATTCCCTCTCGTGTTATCTCCCTTTGGGAATTCATTTGTGATGAAGTCAAGATTGCATTTGTCAGAGACAAAAGAAGCACAACTGCTCCCCGTCTCCCGAGGAAAATATCGGCCTCTTCCTCTCACATATCGCTTGAGTCAGCATAATAATTCTTTGAAATTAATTAATTCTGGAAGGAACAATTGTCAAATCCTTTCAAAGAACTACTTGCTGAGAGACTATATCTCATTCATGTGAACACAATTTTTATTGTCTTTCTGTAAATCTACAATAGTCTGTCAGGAGCAACAGGCTGGTTAGAAGATGCGCCTCTTTTGCTTCAAAATCGGCAGGGACGTCAGTTTTCCCTGTTAAGCCCTCATGACCATGCGAGGACTAATCGTTGTAATCAATGGTCAGAAGATGGACCAATCAGACTGGCCCAGCATGGCGCTGCCATTCATGTCCGTCGACTAACTTCCGGTGCACGGCACCTTGGGCATTCCGCTGGAGAAATCGGAGGCGATAAGGATTGTGTTGGATTGTTCTGGTAACGACAACAATGCGTAAAGCTGTCTTCCCCAAACTCGGTAGAAACCGAACACGCAAGGTCTTATTCTTATCGCGATAAATATTATATCATGTCCGTGATGAATAGGAATTGGAAGCATCATTCCCAAGCAGACACTGCATTGATATCCGACAAGAGGTGATAACTTCAGAGTATGCAGTATGCATGATGCTTTTCGCTGGGATTAGTTTTCCCAAAGTGATTGTAAACGTTTTACATCCTCATCGATATATTTTAGTTCATTTAGGTTTTGGCCTGCTTGGATCACGAATGTCAGGGCCAATACGGGCTTAGGAGGTACGGTTGGGGGTGGGGG